ATTTAAAAACACAAAACTTTTTCACTGTTATAGATTGAATAGCAGTCAGTTGTCTGCCACTGCTGCCAGCTTCTGTGTCAGGCTCACAGTGCATACTGTGCCCATTTCCCCAGTCAGTGCCACCAATTACATCTGGTGTCACAATAGCTTGGATTTAAAAACAAAAAACTTTTTCACTGTTATAGATTGAATAGCAGTCAGTGTCCTTAAAGCGGGTGTGTTACGCTAACAGTGGATACGCTGACAAGTGCCACTAATTAGATCTGGTGTCACAATAGTTTGGATTTAAAAACAAAAAACTTTTTTTACTGTTATAGATTAGATAGCAGTTAGTTGTCTGCCAGTGGGTGTGTCAGGCTCACGGTGGATGCACTGTGCCCAGTGCACCACCACTCACTCCCACTAGTACCAGGATGAGTATTTTCACAAGGCAATCCCAACCTGGCCTCGAGAGGGTGTGCAAAAGGAAATAATGGCATGTCTGGCACACAGTGTTGGGGCAAGGGTCCATCTGACCACTGATACCTGGTCTGTAAAGCATGGTCAGGGCAGGTATATCACCTACACTGCGCATTGGGCAAAACTGCTGACGGCTGCCAAGCATGGAATGCGTGGCTCTGCAGAGGAGTTGGTGACACCGCCACGACTTGCAGGCAGGCCTGCTGCTACCTCCTCTACTCCTCTTACTCCATCCTCTTCCATAACCTCCTCGGCTGAGTCCTCTTCTGCTGCTGCGTCTTGCTCCACATCAACGGATAGGGAACGTAACAGGGATTAAACTGATAAGAATAGTACTACTTCACACACCACTCCTATCTGGTGGCACATTAGATTGCACGCGCAGTGCCCCAAGTTTGAAGAAGGAGGACCGACCAAGCTTCTTTTTCTATCTTCCGGTGTGGCGAAACCGACCTCGCCACAGGGCATTGGAGAAGACTGATTGCCAGCCTCCTGCCATGTGATTATGGCCCCTGGGATGTATTGCCCTTTAAAGACATGATTTGGGCATAATGGATTTGTGTTGTGCTGCTGCTGGCCCATTAAGAACCATCTGGGGACATACTGTGGAGTTACTGGGTGACCACCATTTCCTGTATCAGAAGCACATGGTGAGAACAATGGATGGCGGCCATTTTAACTCACAGACACTGTTTGGACTTTTCAACATGGTGCCATCTCGCCAGTATTTGGTGCACAGAGACATCGTGCAGTGGTTTTGGACTATACAGCAGGGGACACATTATACAGTGATTGGTTTTCATTTAGCCTGTATATGTTCTGCAGAATCTGCATTAAACTGTATTTTCCAAAGTACTGAACAGATCTGGGTGAATTTTGGATATGTGGTTTTTGGACTTTTATGGGGTTATTGCATGTTTTGGGGTCCCTGTGATGTGTTTTATGAAACTGTATTTCTCTGTCTGTGATAATTAGATTACCCATTGTGTTCAGTAATCATATCACAGGCAGAGGGGAGGATTTTGTGTGGGAGTGTCTGTGTGTATTGTACAGATTGATTGGTTGTTCTGTAAAACCCTGTGGGCAGTACTAAGTTTGTGGATTGGGAATAAAAGAGGCTGTATGTGCCAGTACAGTCAGTTCCTGCTTAACCCTCAAAGTGAAGTGTTGTCTCATTATTGGGGGAGGATTTATTGTATGCTGTTCCAGTTTG